TTTGGGCTATTTCGATAGTTTGGACTTTATCGAACTGACTTAATTGGTCCACGTAGAATGTTGTATTTTTTCATCCAAAAACTATCTTTTTTTAGTGCAACATAGGGTGTAGAGATGTGAATTTACAATCTTTAGGTGAAAATAGATACTTTAATCACTTGAGTTTTGTTAGATTGCTATCGGACATAAACTGAGTTAGGTTGAAGTTGGCCACTAAAACATTTTATTAGGATTATTCCTACATTAAAATTTACCAAAATATTTGCAATAATTTCTATGCCATGATGGTTTTTTTTAAGCTGTGTCGAGTATTTTTATTAAAAAAATTAGATATTTTTTTACCTCATATGTGATGTAACATTTGAAAAAACATTTGAATTTTATTTTCGAAAAAATTATTTTTAAGTTCTTGATTTTTGAGGCGGGAATGATATTCGGAATGACTAATTCTTAGTTAAAAGAAATAGTTTTATTTACTATTTTTTAACTGTTGTTAAAAGGGTACATTTTCTCTATCGCTTTAATAATTTTTGGGTAATTGTAATATGTGTTCCAACTCCCAATCACGAGTGCACGTGTCTCGGAGTTGCCGTGTTAATCTTGAGGGACGGACGGTTGATTTTCGATCACACCACGGTCGAGTCGGATTTTCGCTTTCAGGGTAGTCGGTTTTCCCACAGCACAACATAATTTCAATTCATATATTTTATGATTTTTCTAATAATTGACATTTTGAGGAGGGTGTGTTAGACATTTTCTTGTGATTAGAATTTAGATATTTTACTATACACACACACGTTGGGCGATCTTTTCCAATAATGTAACATCACAAATAAAAGAAAATATATATGCCTAACTATTTGATTTATTCATTTCATCGTAGATATTCTTTTATCTTTCTCTTTAAATCTCTAATAAGCCACTAAGCCGATTTTAAAAAAAGGAAGATTTTAATTTCATCAATTTGAAATTTAGAAAATGATGAAATCATAACTCTAAATTGAATACGAGGATAAGAAAAAGAATTTTCACCTTATTCATCATGTTAATGAAAATAACATGATACTGACTTTTTCTTATATGTTTTATAAATTAAGAAGAGAATATTAGAATAATAAGTTTGAGAACTCAGCTTACTAAAATATTTATTTTCCATTAAAATATGGTGAGTTCAAATCTTCTATCTCCATACTTAAAAAATAATAATGTAAATTGAAAAAAAATGACAAGATATTTAATGTAAATATGTACTAAAATACTCCCACATCATGTAGTTTGATTATTTTTTATTCATAGTATAAACACACCGCTATTTAACCATTAATTTGAAAATTATTAACGAAAAGATATATTCAATCACACATCTAAAATGTTATGACCCAATAATTTATCGAATAAAATTAAATATTACTTCTATAATTAAAACCTAAACAATTTTTATTCTTATAAATTATAAGAATAAAATCTATTGTTGATGATATATATATATATTTGAAAATTGTTGATGATAATTAAAAAAAAAAGAAATAGAAAAAAGGAAAATATAGATTGATACAAGCCTAATAAAAACAAGAGTTCCAAAATTTCTAGATGAAAATTGAAAGACATGATGACTCCGACCATAAAATTTGCTGCTAAATTTATGTACAATAACATATTCTTCACTTATGAATCCTCAGCTATTTTTTGTACATTACTTTTAAGGCTCCTTGTAAGATTCTCCTTTCTAATTGAATTAAAAAATGTAAATCTTTTTAATTATTTATATTCCTTGTTTCTCATTTTTCCGTAACATCCTCAAAATTATATAGAAATTAAAAAAAAAAACTAGGAATTTTTTTTTCTTATTTCTCGTTTCGATTTTCAATTTGTTACAAGCCTTACCATTCCTAATTGCTAAAAGAAGGATGGGAATTAGGGCAAAAAATTCAAAGTTGATTAATCAAATGCAATGGAGAGGCATCTTGACCCCAAAAAATTGTGGTTTTATTCTTTAGTGCAATTGAAGAAATAAACTCCTCTCATTCTCACTCTTTTTCCCACCACTCCTTGACTTTTTCCTCCATTTTATGTATAGTTTATTAGTGACAATAAATTATTTAACAACGCCCACAAAATTGTTAAGGACAACGATACTCTTGTTTGGGTATAACCCTCGCGGCTTAACTTTTGGTTTCACTCAAAAGACCTCATACCAATGGAGATAATTGTCCTTGTCTATATAAACCTCATACCAATGGAGATAATTGTCCTTGTCCAATACTCTTCTCGAACAAAGTGTCACTTGTATCTTTGCCTCGAATAGTCATGCAATAACTCATCTACTCCATGCAAGGAATGGGAGCCTACTTCTATCCAACACGTCCAGAACACTTGCTACACGGACCACGTTATGGGAACACCTGGGGTTGTTCTATCGCACTCTCAATCTCTCCTCCCCTCAAACAAAGCTACGCCATTCTTTCTATTAGTTTACCCCGACTTGATAGGACATGTCTTGCTCGTCATCCAAGCAAAGAACATGTTTTTGCTCGCCACCTCGAGCACTTTTTGTTCGATTTTAAGATCCGTCCACAAGTTCCGTAATGACACTATTAGACTCACCAATCACTCTTGTTCGACCTTTGAGGATCTCCTCCACACAGCTAGGTTTTTTACCATGGCTCTAATGCCATTTGTTAAGGACAACGGTACCCCTCGTATCCCAAGTATCTCCACAATGGTATGATATTGTCCACTTTGGGCATACTACTCACGACTTTGCTTTTGGTTTCACTAAAAATACATGATATCAATGTAATGGAGATAATTGTCCTCATCTATATACTATGGATCACTCCCTTTCCTAACCAACCCGAGACTTTGTTCGCACTCTTACAAACTCAACAAAAATAACTCGTAATATTAAATATGCGACATGAAAGTATACAATGATAACTACATTCTGGTAGTTCCATTGAATCATTTCTATTTTGTTCTCTATCGTGATCATTGTGAATTTAAAATCGAAAACGTACGATCGAATTTCTTCATTGTTCATTGTTCTTTTTCGTGTTTTATATGTGATCACATTGATAAGAATTTCGTGTTTTTGTTTATTGGTGTTTTGAATGAATTGCTTAAAGTGTATGTTTGAAAGATATATAAGTGTGCTTAGCTTTGACATGACAAACACAAGGTGGAATATATCAATTCAATTTAGCTAAATGGGTGTGAGATTTAGTTTGTCCAAAACTAATGAATGACTATTCTCCATCAAAATTATTCCTTCTTGGAAAGTTCTCTCTAAGATGACGTGGAAAAAAATATCAATATCTATAACTTAGTTTACCAAATTACTCGCGTGTGTATGTTGTCTTTTCAAAGATACAAATGGGTAAAAAGTGGAATTTCAATTCAACAACCTATCATTTGAGTTTCATTTGTGAAAATAAATGAAAAATAAATCAATTCTAATTCTCTGTCTGAATGATGTTATCTTAAAAGACGACAACGTTCAAACGAAGAATTTATTATTTATGATGAAGTTGAAATTTTTCATTACTATAATATTTAATTTTTTGTAAAAAATATTTTAGTCTAAACTGAGGTGATTTATAAATCCATTGATCAAAAAGGGAGAACAACTCTCTTGACAAAAGTTTTGGACTAAGCTAGAAACACATGAATAAACCGCTCCTGTGAATGTACTTCCTCTTTTCACTTACCCAGACGATTACTCTTCCTCGTTGATTTCGAGCATCACAAAACCGCTCACCATCCCTTTCAAAAAGGACAATAATTTGAAGGAAGAAAGAAAAATGTACCATGTTTTAAGAATGTTGTACAAAGCACAAACACAAACGAAGAATATGAAAAGGATAACTGTCGAGAAAAGGTAATATATGCAAGTAGTGAAGAAGGTGAGAAGTTATTGGAAAAAAGAAAAAGAGCTTTTGGAAATGTGAGGATTGTCCCCTAAATATTCCAAAGATTTCCAGTATTATAATTAAATTCTGAGGGTTCCTCCACTTCTATTATAGCATACCATTCACTTTCCTTTAGTAAAAAAATAATTTTAATGGCTTTAAATTAGTTTTAATTTTTGATTTAAAATATATGCCTTGACTAGTTTGAGTTAGTTTAGAATTGACATGATTTGACATAATTGATTTAATTTTATTAATATAGTCTATTAAAATTAAATCAAGTATATAAAATTACCATTTCACCAATACTTTGTTAAGAATTACATAATTTATATTGACCTTAGTACAGCTTATCAAAGCATCTATAAGGAAAATTTTCCTTATGAGTTTGAATGTTTGAATTCCTATTCCCTCATTAATAAAAATTTAATGAATTGATATATTTGTCTAATAATTTATTATTATAAGTAATTTAGAAACCTACCAAAATTATTGAAAATAATTATCAATCAATTTATTGTAATTTTGAAAACCCATAGATCTAGAATCTTTTTCACTATCCATTCATTTTAATTAATTAAGGGTGTTTTTCTTGACTATTTTAATCAAAGATTAGTGTTTTGTTGCCCTTTTTTTAGTGGAATTTAATGCTCTAACTTTTTGGCCCACATTGTAATGACTTAACCAATTGTCATGTTTGTTTGCTGATTTTAATGTAAACTTTTGAGTAATAAAAATGCACGATAATTGCACCCATAATAGTTATATAATTATTTAAAAATTTTTTATGTAAATATTTTCTCAAACTAGGTTTGATATATATGTCCTTTAGGAAAAATACAAATTACCTTTGGTTGCTAAATCTCAGTCATAAAAGCAAGTTTAGCTGCAAATTATGTTTTATACGACAAATACAAACTTAACCAAAAATTAAAAGAAAAAGACACATCTCCATGTCGATCTCTCTTTTCTTTTCTTTCTCATTTTGCAAGACGAGATCTTGTACGAAAAGAAAAATACAAAGAAGAAGGAGATGAAGAAGAATGAAAAAAAAAAAAAAAACAAAAGGAAAGAAACATTTATGTAAAACAATTTTGCTACAAACTTGATTATACAACTTTACTAGAAAATGCAACTTCATGGAGAAGAAAAAAAAAATCCATCTCTTAATCCTTTTTCCCACTCTCTCTTCTTTGGTTAATAATATAGTTATCTTCCTCTGTGGTGTCTTGGCTCTTTCATTTTGCATTTTTTATAAATCAACTCCAATTCTCTGATCATGTCTATGGAAATTTCAAAGCCCCAACAAAATATAGTACACCAGTGTTATGGGGAGCGCAATCAACATCCCGAATATCACTCTGCAAATAAGTGATCGTAAATATTAATAAGAAAAATATAAATAACATTACAAGAGTTTGAACATAAGACTACTGATTTCTATATAAATTCTAATGGTTAGAACTTACGCTGTACTTAAAATGTCTGGGTGCACGTTGTATTCCTTTGCAAATACAAATGGCACGATCCCTTGCGGCAGAGCTGCCTGAACAATAGCAACATGTAAGAGAACACCTCTGAGGCCAACCGCGATTGAAGCAGCTGCCATAACGGCTGGGCCTGTAAGGAATCTGACTGCCATCGCAAAAGTTGCTATGGAATTTCCACATGCTATGATCCTTGGTTGCAAAGCCATGAATATACCTACATGTTGTCACCAACATTCATATACATATTTAATCCATTTGAATCATACAATTTCTGTAGATGAATGATAAAATTAATATATTACTAAATTTATGCGACAAGATACTTAGCAAGTGGGTAGAGAAGAAATTAGACGACCTAAATAAATACATTAAAAATTAGTATCTCGTCATGTAATTAAATTTGTAATCACTGATCGAAGGTTATGATTAAAAAATGTTAAATAAAAAGCGACTAAAATGACAAATTTTTGAACAATACAGATTAAATTAAAAAATAATAATACTCAAAATATTAGAAATTAGTACAAAATTGAGGTAATTACGTACCGAGACTGAACATAGCCATACCGAGCCCAGCATCAGAAAGAATGGAGATGGATTGTGCTACAATGGCAGGCATCTCAACATGCCACCTGCAAACCAAAATAAATAAATAAATAATCAGAAAACAGTTTTAAAAAAAATATATCCAAACTATGTTGTTATTTGATTTTTCAAAACTAATGGGCATGAAAGATGGGATCTTCCTCGATACTATATTGATATTGATGAAATTCCATTTTTAGGAGTAGTAGTTTAGGACTCGTTCGGTAACATTTCTGTTTTTTTGTTTATCGTTTATAATTTTTTTAAGAAATCTAAACATTTTGTTACTAACTTTGTTGCTTGTTTTTTTTTTATTACATTCTCATCGAGTTTCCTCTTTTTTGTTCCTATTTCTAATTTATTCCAAAACACAAACAAAAAATTATTTTATCATATTTGAATTCATGTACGTTAGAAACATGCAATTTATTTTTTCTTTGCGAAAATGAAGGAATAGAAACAAAAAAGAAAAAAATATATAAACTTCGCTTTATATATCATTTATCTTTTTCAGGTATGATTTTTAACGTTGGTAAAAGCATTTCAAAGAAATTACAAGCAAACATATCTCATATTAAAATTTTAAAAATAAAATAATTATCAACGAAGTACCTGAAGGAAACAAGGGACCAAGTGAGGCCAACCAAGCTGGAATAAGTATTGGGATTTCTGATGAGTTTTCTCCACACCATTATCAGAATCAGCCTCGTCATCACACTCGCCGGCGGCATCGTCTTCGAAGCCGCCCCGTTATTTTCCGATGATCCCTTCTGATCTGCAGCTCCCATTTCATGACGGTTGTGGTTGCTGCTGCTGCTGTTCATCCCTCTGTTTCCAAAGCTGAACTCTTCTCTCTCCCCATCTTTCCGAGGAGAAACCACTAATTTCACTTCTTTTTGGTCATGGCTTTCAGCTCCCCCATAATCGCGGCTTCCAAATACGTCTGACACCGGAGAAGCGCTCGAACTCCATACGAACATGTGCAGATCTTTATTGTTACCTATGGATCAAAATTACGAATAAAAAACTGACCCATTAACTTTATAATCTTGTTAATTTTGCGGTTACCTTCGTCGGATTTGTGTTGCGCAGCTTGCCCATTTGCTGTTCTTTTCCCCGCGATGAAGTTTTTCGAACCAGTCGGCGAAAACATTCCTGGGTTCGGAGCAGGGTAATGCGGCGTCACCGGCGCCGGCGCCGGATTCCCATGGTAATGAAACCTCGCCGTCGTACTCTTCCCTCCGCCGCCGTGCTGTTCCTCTTCGTAATTCGACGGCCGCGGCGTCGGCCCCCTCGACGCCGCCGTGGCCTGCCCGTAGACGTCCGGGCCGGCGCCGAAATGGGAGTAGAAATCGGTGTGGTTGAAACTGGAACCTCTCGGCGTCGGATTTCTCGATGACTGCAACGAATAAATCTCGGCGTTGGTGAGATTCGACGGCCGGGGAGTCGCCGACGACAGCCCCTGTGACCGGCGGGAGAAAATATCCGACCGCGAGGCGTTGGACCTTCTAACGGTGACGTGAAGTTTTCCGTCGTCTTTAATCTCCGCCTCCGTCTCCAACGCCTGCCGGCCGTCCAACGAAACGACGTCGGATTCGACATGGATGGAGACAATCGACGCCGCCGCGTCGGGAAATTGCTCGGAAATCAAATTCCTCGCCCCTCTAAATTCGAACATAAATAACATCAAAGTGTACCAAATTATGCACTGAAGCACCACAATTTGAACCATTAAGCTGCCGGAAAATTCGCCGTACATTCCTTTGAGTAACGGAATTCCCATGACCAGAGTATTGGGCAGAGTCGACAGTGAAAACAGAGTAATTGTCCACTCCAAACACCCTCTGCGGCTCACCTGTAAACGGAACAGATTTTTAATTTAATTAAATTTACGGTAACCCATCAACTTAATTTTGAGTGTTTACCTTTGTCCATACAGCAAGGACTGCCAGGACGATGATTTTTTGGAGAGTGTCGGCGGCGATGAAGCGGAAGTTCATGGTGTAGGGGTTGTTGGAGGCGATGAAGTGGAAGGAAAGGAGGGGGACGGCGAAGAGGGCGACGAAGCGGTTGATGCCGGAGCATTGATCGGGGGTGAAGATCTTCCACCATTTGACGGAGCCGTAGGCCAATATCATCGCGACGTAGAGCGGTACGACGGCGGTCATGACATGGTAGAAATCGGATAATGTGATCATGTTTTGGGGAGGTTGAGAAACAGAGGAAATCTAATGAAGATGAAGAAGAAGGGGAGCAAAATGGGAAAGCTTGTGCTTTCTTTATAAGCACTTTGGAGGGTTTTATGGAAGCTTTTTTTAAACACACTTTTTCTTCTTCTTGGATTCGCCTTTTTGCAACTCATGGGTTTTAGATTCGGATATGTCAGTACCTCTCTGTTTTATTCTTCTCCTCCCTTCTAACTTTTGCTAGTTTGTTTATTCAGATTCATAATTGTGACATGACTAAAATAAAATTTAGGGCATGAAAATTAATATAAAATATCCTATACTAAATCCAGTCGAGTGGTAATTGACATATTTCTCCAATTAAGATGTCGTTCAATCTACCACCACAAAAATTTAATAAATGATTACCAACTTGAGCATATAGCTTAAGAGCTATACCAAAATGTATAAGTTCAAATTTTCGTCTCCACTCGTTGTAGAATTCAAAAAAGAATCCATTAAAATGATTATGAAGTAATATAGTAGTAGTTTGAATGCACTACAACTTACTCTAATACCTCGTTACACTAAAAAAAACATAGATTGATAATAAGTGAATAAATGTATCTTTCTCCAATATTTCTCATATATTTTTAAAATCATCCTATTCATGTATTTCCTAATTCTATGCAAATCTAATGACCTGATCCGAGACAAAGTACATAATACAATAACTAACATGTTGATTTATTTTCAAGCACGAAAGCAAAGAACTTGTCTTTAACACAAACATAATCTAGGGCCCGGGTGTGAGCGAGAGGAATCGATCAAAGTCGATATTTTGAATTAGTTAGACTTTGTGAACCGAGAGGTCGATATCAATACAACTCGAAAACAAAGAGAAAGAGTTAGAATAGAATGGGGTTAAAGAGGGCAGTGAGGGAGTGGTGGGAGCACTGTTGTTGGGCACGCGAGGAGGTTAGGCAAATGGTAATTAGTGGAGGAGGACAATGAGATAGAAGAGGGAAACATAGAGAATATGAAGCCAACAAAACCAACAATAACGTAATAAATGGGACCTCAAAAATTAAAATTCCCCACCACTCGCAACCCTACCATTACTCACTCTCAACCAATCACATTTTGTTCTTTAAAAAAAAACATTTCTATCCGTAAACCCGAGTAAGTAGCTGCTCAATCAAAGCATAGTTCTTCTGTAGTTGAAGGTTCAATCATCTGTCTCTACATTTATTAAATTCATAAAGGAAGAAAGAGTGGTAAATATATATAACAATTTTTTAAAATGGGACATTAATCAACAATTAACTTAAATAATAGCTAACATGAAGTTAGCTCGACAGTAATTAACATATATCTCTGATCAATGGGTCATGAGTTCGAATCCTCCACTCCACTTATTGTACTAAAAAATAATAATAACTTAAATAATAATAAATACTTAGGAAGTTTATTATACGACCAATTAAATTCTATATTATTCATTGTTGTAATATATTGATTAATAATTATCTTGACAAATTATTGATTGACATTTACACGTATATTGATGATTTTGTTATATTTACAATTATTTTTAGGTGATATATTTTTACAATATTTTTGTAAAGTATGTTGAATTGCAATTAGCCCTTATTTTAGCTCCCTTTGATCAAAACGTTAGTAATTTCAACTAGTCCAAGTATGCGTAACTTTCTCTTGATAATGGTCAATTATCTCGACTCGTCAATGATGAAGGTAAAAATCATCAAGGATAAAAATCACTAGCAAATAATCAAATGGAATGACCAATCTATAACTTTACAAAATCTTAATATTTTTTTAGTTAGGATGGAGGTTTGAACCTTCAAGGTCGATGATATATATGTTTGAATTGGTTTTAGATATTTTTTTATTCATTATGTATAGTATTTTTGTAAGTTTTATGATTTCTTTTTTCTATTCATCGATAGGACGTGTTAACATAAAATTTCATGTTCATGTACCCATACAAGAAAAAAAAATTCATTTGCATGTAACGTTGATAAACATTTTTAATATATATTTTCATTATTAATATATTGACACAACACATGAATATTGCAATTATTAAATTTATGCTCAACTAAAATGGACCGATAATGATGAATCTTTATTTATTTTGTCAATTTCATTATCTCTATGAGTGCATGTAAGAAATGACATAAAGCCACGGCATCATATTACATTATTTTATGACAAATACAATTGAATATTGTAGAAATTATATAATGTTACACAAAAATATTTGTATTATGCTACAACTTTATTTACGCATTAATTAAAATAATATAGATGAAAATGAAACTCTTAAAATCACAAATATTTCAGTAAAACAAGTTAAGCATAAAAATTAAAAAGATAATTATATTTTCATCACAAAAATTTTAATTAAGTTTGTATCTAGACCTTCTATTTCAAAATGTTACCATTTTACTTTAGAAGTTTGAAAATGATTCATTTTATTTAGTTTTTTTCCCAAAATATGGCTTTTAATATAATTGTTTTCTTAAAAAAGAGAGACATGCATTAATAATAATATTTTCATGAAATATGTGCACTTTTAAGAAAATCTAAAAATAGAGTAGAAAAGTGAAGATCCCATTAAATTGATTTATCCATAAAGTTGGCTTTTTTAAAAATAAGCTTTAAAAAGTCCCTACGGAGGCCAAGTGAAGCTAGAAACCCTAGCCAATTAACCTAAAAAATCTTCTTTTAAGGAAAAAGAATAAACTTTTGTATTTGGATTAGGTCAATTTAAAGTAAGTTGCTTTGAAAATTAACTACTTTTTTTTTTATCAAGGTTGCCTTATTTTGGGGGAGAAGGTTGTCCTTTTTCTTAAGTCAATAAAAACTATACTCTATATAAGGCTGGCTTAAGATATAGACGAGTGAAGACAAGATGAATATATAAATGACAAGACGAGGCATAAAGACCTCATTACATACGTAATCAATAGGACAAAAGGGAACAAACACTATTTAACTTGCAAGTCAATTTGTACGAATCACATGACCTCTTGGTCAGAGATAGATTCCTTAACCACTTGAGCTATACTCGGTTTTGACCGTACAAGTTTTCACGGTCTCATACATACACAACTAAAACTTGATAATGAAAAACATTATCAATGTGTGGTGTTTTTATAAAATGAGATTTTATTATTAGCTTATATATTTAAAAAAAGATTGAATAGAAGAACATTAATTTACATAATATAATTGACTCAATGTATATATGTCCAAGTAACGTTGACTCAATGTATATATCTCCAAGTAACGTATTTATCGAGGCGAATAGAAATTAAGAGGTCATTGATAAACATTTCATTTTATATTTTTGGTTTTTGAAAACTAGACTTATCTAATAACCAATTTCAAATATTCTATTTTCTAATTTTTTAAAATTTTTTTAAATTCTTATTAAAAAATTTTCTTAAAAAAGTTAAAGTAGTTTTTAAAAACATATTTCTATTTTTTAAATTTTATAATTTTTTCTTCTAATGCTCATTGTTTCCTTCCACATATTTGTCCCTAATAAATTTCTTTCTAATTTTTTCTCACATGAATCTCTATTTAAAAAATTTATCTTTTCTATATAAATTTTTTTATATCTTTACTCTTATTTCTCTTATTTTAAAAAGGAAAAAAAAAACAAAAACAAAAGTTTAAACTTAGGAAAAAACAATAACAATAATACTGCTATAATCAATATTATTATCTTTAGCAATTTTTTCAACAGCAATCGTGGCCGTCGTCGATCTTTTTGCCTCCAGCCGTCCTCTATTTTTTAAAATACATGGCATGTAATTAAATACACGTATATTTAACAAGTAATTATTAGTATTATTATTATTATTATTATTAATAATGACTTGTGGGACTTGGTTTTATAGGCTTTATAGGCTCTAGTTTCCAATTCTAAAGAGACACCGAGTTCACAATTTTAATAAAGTTTTGGTAATTAAATTTGAGATGGAAAAGTTTAAGTTTGAAAAACATATGCTTAAATGACACCAAAAACAACGTTAAAGAAATTTGGGTTCAATAATGTCTTAGAGATAGTGTATAATATAAAAGGTAAGATTTATTAGCCTGAATTTAACCGATGTATAACTTGAAATAAACGAATTAACATAATAGAGAGCATCAAAATAACTCAAGTTCAATCAGAATGAAACTATAAGTTACATTGGAAAATACAGATCAAGAGTAAAATCAACTTATTCAAGATATTCATTAGAAGCCGAAGTCGAAGAGACTATCATCCTTACATAATATGCTACAAATCAAGCATAATATAGACTGACTAAGATACATAGAATCGTAAGAATGATAGAAATCCTATACAAATATCTTGAAGAAGGAAAACCATAGAGAGTGGAATGACCTTACTAGCTAGCGAGGGGTGTTGATGAACCGAATCGTCTTTTAGCCTTTGGATTTTGGAAGTTCAATCCACTGTAATTGAATTTCGACTTCCCCGCATTCGACATTTTTCAATCTGAGGTAGATATCTTGGACTACCTTACCATTTTTCCACACAATACAGCTCTCTTCGGCAAGACAGTTTTGCCTGCTCGGTAGCAATCGTGTGATTATGGTTTCACTGGGAAGATTTTTCAAGTTCATCTTCAGGGCTTCCATGAACGATTTGATATCGAACTCCGCACGTCCCATTTTATCGTCCTTGGTAAATGTGTCGTGATCGTAAACAGTCTGTAACCAACTCGGAGATGAATTTAAGGAATTAATGCAATGTAAGGAAGCAGGGTTTCCAATGAAGAAAGTAACGGAAGTTGATTTTAGTTTGGCATTAGAACAAATGGCTCATAAAAATAGCTTTCATAAAAGCTGAAAAAACAAGAAATGACAAACACTAAGCAAAAGAAAAGGGTTAAAGTACAATAATATAAAACAGCATTCTTAACAGTTAACAGTTCTTCGGATTCACAAACGTGAAGAGTGCCACAAAAGTCCAGCTTTCTCTCACAATATGATCATGTTTATTTGAGAAATAACTGTTCCGGTGGTTGTCGATGTAATAATAATTATTATGGAATATGACAGAAAGCTACAAAACGATAGCGTTCATGGAAGCAACCATTGGGACTCGAGAATGATCACTTATAACTTGGAAAGAACGCAGTTGTCTACAAGGCAAAAGAGCTTAACCTGATTTTCATCAATTGCAATTACTAAGAAACCATCAGCTTTGTAATTCAAGTTCAATTATGTCTACATGGAAATTTTAAGAAGCTAGATTGGTGACAAAGCAACCACATATATATCATTTTAACGGAGAAAATAAGCATCATATAGAATGAGTAAGAAATAAAGAAAGATTACCAGCTTAATTGGAAGATTCGGATCGCTGACAGTAAGAGTTAGATCTTCATTCCATTCAGGATTGACATCCTTCTTTATCACCCGAGTCTTCAGTTTCTAAATTGAGAGTTCACAAGCACGAATGTATTCAGCAGCATCAGTACATGAACATTAATTTTCTGTCTCTCTTTCTATCTTTTCCTTAATAAGAAACAACAACTTAGACGTACACATCATTATGGAAACCAGAATTTCATATCTAACATTAAGATATCCTAATTAGTCATCATTTTAACGTCATTGTTCATTGGACCATTAAAATCTTCGAAGGAATTGACCTGCCTAAAAAGGCACAATCCCTTTCTACAATTCATCATGATGTTCATTCATTGTAACGAAATTTCATGAGTTAATTCAATAGATAAGAATTTAAATCATCTCGTCCCTTAGAAGAAAAAAAAACCCAGATTAACAACAGCTCAGGTCCACCCACACAAGTTCTATTCCGCACCCAGAAGTTGCAAAACCAACAGGCGATTTCAGAGTCCCACTCTTAATGAGGCTTTTTGGCCCATTGCCCAATTATCCTTCCCCTCAAGTACGCTGTAACTGCTACCTCGCCAATCATACCAAATAACCAATCCGATCATAAATTCCACCAATTGGTAATCATTACTCATTCTTAACCCTTCTCCAGAAAACAAACTACTTCTCTAAACAAATCAATAAATTATTCCGTAGTTTACGATCTTACAGCATTCCAAATGACCTAACGACACAAAAGCTCCTAATTTACATCCAAAACTCCAGCAGACGAAAGAAACCTAAAACAAAAACGAAGGTGATGATCAGAGAAGAATAGAGGAGAAGATATATACTTGTTTGCCCATCTTGACGACGACATAAGGATCGCTGCTACGAACATCACGAACAGCGAGATTGACACCACGGATGATGCGAATACGGAGAAGTCCGAGCAGATTCTCCATTAGCGACAGCCGACCACCGCTCTTCGGCGATGATGGTGAATCCCGCATGTCTTCCCTCGCTCCCCTCTATTTATACCACCTGAAGAAAACAAATACAAAAGACTTTCAATTCGAAATTTAATTTAAAATTAATTTAAACATCAGCAATTTTCGTGGGACCCAGAAGGTTACCGACTCTTTCTGGAATAGGTCTTTCTTATGACCTTTTTTCTCTTCGATTTTCCTTTAATATTTCTTTGATTTTCCTTCCTGGGACGACAATTCTAAATATGGTTATAATTTTTGGAATAAAATTTGTTGGGTGACCGAGAGATCCGGTTGTAGGTTGCGAAAACGATGGGAAGGACGCAACTTTAGTGGATGAGGTTAGAGGCGTATGAAACGACGTCGTACCAGTAAGTCAATTCAAGCAAAAAGACTTTGGACTCCCTCGAGATGCCACGGATCGTTTTCGCTTGATCAAACAATTACGGGGTTAATTTTGACATCTCACATACATGTTATTCTAATAATAGAATTACACTTTCTGTCGTCGGAAATTTGAACTTAATTTAATCATGAAATTTGAAAAATCATATTTTAGCCTTTGAGATGTGAAAAAACATAATTTTACTATTATTACATAGAGTTGGAGCTTGCTCCCCCTCGAAAGGACGTGTGTCCTTTTAGACTCGGATCTATGAAACATCAAAAAATTTTGATATAGAATTCTTCGAATTTGAGATCTCTAAGTCGGTTTGGTAAATTCTTGTTAACTGAGCTGTCCCTTGAAAACTCTTTTAAAGATTATTACATGGTAAGTGTTGTTATTTTTTTCCTTTATTGAAATAAAAATCTATATTATAGGTGTTGTTGAATAAAGCCAGGTGGATATGTTAGATAATGACATGTCAATGCCTTAGTAAGGTCAATTTTAAATAATATTTCCTTCCATTTCTCTCTTCTCTCAGCTTTCTCTTTTTTTTCTTTTTAACTTTTCTCTCGAGTAAAACAATTAAACTAAAATATATATACTACTCCTCAAATTTCAAAAATTATATAAAATTAAAAGCAAAAACGTGACCAAAGTCATATTTAAAATCATCGTTCTAAATATCCATCGATACGTCGACATTTCCATCAATATATCCATGTTTCAATGGGTTCGACGAAGGGTAAATCAACATTTTCATCATAGTACAAGAAAATCGACAAAATATGAAAAATATCAACAAAATGTCACTAATATATATATATATATATATATAATATTAATATTAATTATTTTTAACTCATTTATAAATGAAAAAATGTTTATTTGTTAATTTAAATATCTTTTTACGGTTTTTAATTTTTCTAACTTTTACAAAAATATCCATTGATATCGACATTTTACCGATAAAATTGAGAAATATATATATTTTTTCTGCTAGACAAAAAAGGCTTGATTTTTCCATGGATATCTAAGGAATATTTCTGTTTGATTGTTGGAAGACCTAAATAGACACATGTGTTATCTTTCTAAGAGCAAACTCACATGTTTCCAATAAATAATTTGTTGGGATTTTAGGTATAACTTTAAAGCCTATCCAAATGGTGACAATAATGTTTACTTTATATAATGAACATATTCATGTTTTGTAATGAATTTACATTAATGTCCACAAACATGTTGGGTCTTTAATGTTTGATTCTTGGAGATGGATTCATTTAATAACTCGAGGAACATATTCGGATGGTCGTGTGGTAGCCACGTGTTAATATATAATAATTTCTGGTCAGAAGTATATAATTTTTCTATTTTCATATTTAACGAGTACATTTACCATTTATATGTATTAAATGAAATAATGTCATAGATAAATGAATTTCATGATGTGACATTTTTGTTATACATGAAATAAAGCGGACCAATAACGAATTAAATGTGATATTTAGGGGTCAATCTTGAATCTCAAAGAGTCGCCTGAAAACTCAAAGGTCGAGACCTGGAAAAGAGTAGATCCGACTCAAAAACCAAAGCTGACAGGCAACGTGTTGGGACCAGCTCTTTACAAGTAAAGAGTCAACCATCCTGTGAGTCGGCCTGCCAACATGATAGCTGACCACCGTTGGGTCATGGCCCATAGTAAGCTTATTAGGTCGAGGTTCAAATAAAGCAACGTAGAATACCATCGCATTTGAAGATTCTCTTGATCATCAATGTAGGGGTGTCAAATTCGAAATATCGAGATTTAAGTAATTCAAAAAGGAAAAGATATCTCGATAACTCTAAGTTTTATAATCTCATAATCAAAGTAAAGCTAAGAAAGTCCTAATTCTTTCTATGCTTCAATAAACTCTATATGACTTAAATATTGGAGTGCGTGCGGTTAACATATTTTGTTTGGCATGTTTCGTCAAAGTCTTTTTATTCTAAAATATTGGTGTGAATTCAATAATCTTGTTAGGCCAAATTCCTACCTCAATAATTTTAGTTTAATATTGACATAGTGACAAGAAGCTTAAGTGTTGATACTAAATCCAAATTCGAGCACTCAATAAAAACCAAAAAAATGTATATATGTTTTAAAGGCCTAAGATATTTCTAAGAGTAACAACCATCGAAATAGTGATCATTACCATAAACATGATCATAGTGTGATATTTGGCATAGTGGCAGATATTTTGAAGTGCAATCAATAATCTCTATAATATATTTGTAACTCTTTATAGACTATAGCCATAAATAATATTATTCTTATTTTTCATCACTTGTAAGCATTTAATCTAATGGTAGGGATAATAATGAAAATTTTACAGATATTAGAGATTAAATTGAAATCAAAGTTGAAATAGAAAGACTACAAATATAATTGGTTTAACTATTAGTGGAACCACTACACAATAAAACTATTATTATTAATTTTATGACAAAAATTAATTACTGAATCATTTATCATTTTAGAGACAAATGAACCATATTCCTGATGATTAAATTACTCAATTTAGTATAAGATGGCTATTTATACAAAATAATTTTAATTTATCGTCTTTTTACCTTTTCCGATTTATTAAAAAAAAGGGGAAATTTGCAAAAGCTATCCCTATCACACCGTCATATTTTAAATTTGATCAATTAAACCCCAAAACTTATAAAATTATTACAATTAAACCTTTAAACATTGCAAAATGCGCATCAATCACCTTTGAACTTTAACTATCTGATTGTTACAATCAGACCCAGATCATTTGCTTCAATGGTATGTTTATTAAATCAAAATATCAACTCAACATGGATTTGAAAAATAAAATTTTCTAGGGGGTAATATTACACTTTTCAAATTTTGTAAAATTCCTTAAAAGTGGGTTAAATAGTAGCCATTATATAATTCGAAATTCTATAAAATTGAAGTTAGTTTGTGCATTTTGAAACATTTAAGGACTTAAT